TAAGTTTATTACTTTTTCATCATAGGCCGTACCAGAATGTTATTCCTCATATTGAAAAATTGATATCAAAGACCATATGAAATTGATAGCCTCCAACCTTCATTTTTTATTTTTTAAATTAGGCCTCAGAAGTCTCTAGAAACAGAGGAGCTTCCTTACTGGCTCGTCCAGGATATAACCTTGTAGCTGCTATTCGAAGCCAACATCAACACGAGTCATTACCACTGGGTATGTATCAAGCTTTATAGCAACCTTGGTTCACCAATATTTAGATTAGTTTTTATTATCATTAATTCTTTAACATTCAAGATTCTATTCTTCTTTTCCTTTTTTATATTTCTGTCTACATCCTCCAACCTTTTTCTCACATTTTGTCCTTTTATCTACTTTTTCTTTCATTTATTCTCTTCCCATCCCTAACATCCCTTTTTCTTCAGTGCCTTACCAAATCAGTACAAGATAGCATAGCTCAAATGACAGATTACATTGCTGTTAGATGCAGATTTTAACTTATATTTATAATTTCCACATACTTACAGAAAACATTTTTATAATTTTATAAAAATGGAGAAATGGAAGAGTCTGATTCTTATTTAACTTAAAAGAGCTTCTGTTGAGGAGCAGACAATATGTAAATTTGCAATTACAAGATCCAGAGGATTCTGAGCCAAGTGATCCAAAGAAGAAACAGATCTGAGAGTTCATATAAGATAATATCAGAAAATTCAGTAAAAAATCAATGATTGGTTGACGTTTAGTAGTAGTTACTAAATTGAGTGGTGGGACATCTGATTGGCAGGAAATGACATATATTATTAAAGTTGTTTTTTTAAAGTACAAAGTAATCATTATGTTGTACATGTCTGGCCTTGACACAATCATGAGACCCTGTTTGTATGATCAAAAAGAGAACTTGCATAATTCTAAAGTTTGTTTTGAGTAAGCATCTGGTCTCATAATTGCTTAGAGTCTCCTAAGAAATTAACAAAACTTGTAATCAAACAAAATTATAAAATTTTCTGAAATTATTTATCAAGGACTTTTCCTGAGGGTATAAGAGAGAGTCACAAGAACGACAGGTAATATTCCTGATGCAAGGGTTAGTTTTGATTCATAATAGAATATTAGCCAAATACCTTAATATAGCCACCATCTCATGTTGGAAGTCCTAAGCTAACCTTCTGTGCCTTAATTTTGTCTTCACTGGTTTTTCCAACAATACTATTTAAAATTTTAGTTGTAATTTTTAAAAAAATTACAGGAAAGTTGGATTTTCATTAAATCATTGTTGCATATTTTCCTCCCTATGCTCCTTTTTTTCCTCTCATGCAGTTCTCTCCCTGCTTTTTCCTTTAATATTCATTCATTATGCATATCCTCCTTCTTCCCCTCCCCTCCTTAAGCCCACTTTGGAATGTACCTCTTATCCTGGACTGTTGTCATGCATATCATGCCTAATCATGCATTCCTTTTAAACAGTTCTTTCCATCATCTTTTCCAATGTGGTGTTTGTCTTCATTCTTTATCCTAACTACCTGATAGGTTTGTTCTCCACTGAAGCCAAGTCTAGGAAGCATACACACACACACACTCCTTTATATGTATGTATGTGTGTGTGTGTGTGTGTGTGTGTGTGTATATATATATATATATATATATATATATATATATATATATATATGGTTGTTGTTGTTGATTGACTTTGAGTCATGCATAGTGACCCTATGAAGCCCCTCTACAACTATTGACATTTCTAAAAGTTCATAGAGTTTATATATATATTCCTTTATATGCATCTATATTCTTTTATATGTATCTGTATTTCTTTATATGCATATATATTCCTTTATATGCACAAATAGCTATTCCTTTATATGCACTTAAATATTCATATATACTTATACATAGAGGGATTTAATTTCTTGACTGCTGGTACCAAGATTGTAGATCCAAGTAAGATGATATCAAACAGTATGTTGTATTGGAAACATTTGCTGGTGTTAAAGAAAATGACATCATTTTTATAACTAAAGAGCACCTGATTCAAGCCTTTTAAATTACTTTTATGCATTTGAAAATTGGACAATGAATAAAGATCAGTACATGAAGGATCAGTGTCTTTGAGTTCTGGTGTTAGAGGAGAATATTAAGTAGCCCATAGAGAGTCAGCAAAGGAGGGAAGATCAGAGTCAGTGGAAGAGGGATGATCCTCAACAAGATGAATTGACATAGTCAATGTAGCAATAGGTTCAAGAACATTAGAGATGATGGGAGGATGGCAAAGAGGCAAGGTTCAAATCCATTGTTCATAGGGTAACCATGAGTCATAGTCACCTCAGCAACACCTAAAAACAATATAGGGAGCTCTGGTGGTTTAATGGCATAGAGTTGCATTGCCAACACAAAGACAGACAATTCAAATCCACCAGATTCTCCATAGAAGAAAGATAGGTATTCTCCTGTCATGTGATTTACAGCTCCAAAAACATGCCAGAGGATCAGCTACTGATTAAACAATAATGAATTGAGTTTTTTAGTTTACACTCACACAGCCAAAGGGAGAAGAGAGATTTCTTTCAATGAAATAGTTTTTTACTTATTATATAGGCAAATCCTAGATCTCTAGGCCAGACTACTAGAAGGCAGGGCCTCGGGCTACTGGCTTTGGAGGCTGACATGACCAAAAGTTATTGGGAAGCAGGATCACAGACAGCTGGCTTCTGGATTTGGAGGCTGACAAATACAATGCTAGTAAGTATGGCAGATCATTGGTTTAAGTCTGCAGGCTGTGAGCCACATAGTCAGATACAAGCATGTCAAGCAGTTTTCTAGCCTTTTGCCAATGAGTCCAAACTTTAAGAACCATGCAGACCACACTCTTGAAGAGACTTACCCTTATTCAGATAAGGCTAAACATAGATCTACTTGTAAACTTGCCTTATTAATATCATAGAGGTTATCATTTATACTACATGAAATTGTTATATTATACTAAAAGTCATAGCTATGTTGTTACATAGTATGAACCATGACACCACCTATTTCTAAAACACATATCACCAACATCAAGGGAAATGAGTGAGAATGAGATTCTGTCAATTCTCTGATTACTATTTGGTAATTAACTTGTGATCATAGTTCATTATCAAGTGGCAAAAAAGATTTCTTTGAACTCATAAAGAACTCATAAGAATTATGACATATAGCCAGGATAAGTTAGAAGGGAAAGAGGAGTCTTTTTCTCCTCCTTGGAGAGCCATATTATTTTTCATCTTTTTGTACTACATTAAGTTGACACCCCTATGTTTCTGGATAACAAAATTGTTAGATCAGATTTATTTTTAGTCTCAGCTTCTAAAAGCAGTAATATTCTGATGTCAAATAAAGAAGAAAAATCCCAACATCTTACCTTTTTTTTTTTTTTGAGGAGAGAGGTGGGTGTAACACCTGCCTTTCAAATTTCTTCATTAATCCTGGCATAATGCAAAGTAACGATTTACAAGTCACCAAATAAATTCTCTTTAGACAGCAGATTCAGCCACAACTCTGCACTTCTCTCTGTTTCAGCATATAATGATAAAATTGTGGCATTTCTGCGCCAGCCAAACATTTTTGAAATGCTGCAAGAGCGTCAGCCTAGCTTGGCAAGAAACCACGCTCTCAGGTAAGTGCTTATTCCTTGTTCCTCTAACTCAGTATTACTCTAGCTTGTAATCCAGGTAGAAAGCATTTCTAGTGGAGAAAAGCTGAAATTAATGATGCCTTTTATTTGTGCATTTAACTTGTAACTGTTATTATATATCATTCAATCAGAACTGACTCAAAGCTCAGCCTCTTACAGGTTTTCAGAGGCAGTAAATTGCACTGGAGGGGACTGCCCACCTTTCTCCAGCAAAGCAGCTGGCGAATTCAAACCACCTGCCTTTGCACTGACACCACAACTCCTCACCACTAATCCACCAGATCTTCCTGTGACTTGTAATTATAACTGTTGTTATTATTGTTCAGGGCTATCAAGTCATGCACAGCTCAAAGCAACCTCTAAAAAACAGATCTGAACCCGGTCCTACCCTGTATCATCCTCATTATCTCTAACACACTCAAGCATATTGCTGCAACCATTGTGTTAATCCATCTTATTAGGGGTCTTCCTCTCCTTCTCCAACTCCATCTTTCCAAGCATGATGTCTCTTTCCAAGGAATACCCTCTCCTAGCAACATGGCCAAAGTTTGGAGATGAAGCTTCACCATCTTTGCCTCTAAGGAGCACTCTAGCTGAACTTTCCCTAAGACATATCTATTTATTATTTTGGCAGTCTGTGGGGTATTCATGACTCTTTTCCAGCATCACAACTCAAAAGCATCAATTCTTCTTATTTCATCCTTACTTATAGTCCAATTCTTAGATGTATATAGTAAGTGATTGAAATGTTGTTGTTGTTGTTGTTGTTATGTGCCATCGAGTCATTTGATTGAAATGTTGTTGTTGTTATGTGCCATCGAGTCATTTGCTACTCATAGCAACCCTATGTACAGCAGCCCTAAACCCTCCTCTATCCTGTGCCAATCGCACTACCTCCAACACACCCATCCTGATCACCCCAGTCACTGGATCAATCCACCTCATAGAAGGTCTTCCCCTCCTGCGCTGTCCTGCCACCCTCCCAAGCATGATGTCCCTCTCTAGGACCCTGTCTCTCCTTACAACATGTCCAAAGTATGTCAGACGAAGCCCCAGAATCCTTGCCTCCAAGGAGTAGCCTGGTTTAACCCTCTCCAGGATGAATCTGTTTGTTTTCTTGGCAGTTCATGGTACATTCAATACTCTTCTCCAGCACCACAGCTCAAAGGCATCAATTCTCCTTCTATTCTCCCTAGTCATTGTCCAACTCTCTGATGCATAACAAGTGATTGCAAAGACTATGGCCTGTATCAGGTGCACCTTAGTCTCCAGAGAGACACCATTGCTCTTGAGTAATGTGATTGAAATACCACAGTATAAATCAGGTACACTTTAGTTTTCTGGCTGACATTACCATTCATCCAGTATTTTGGAGAGCTCTCTCACAGGAGACTTGCCCAAGGCAATACATTTACTGATCTTCTGACAGCTGGTGGCAAGAATGTTGTTGACCCAAGTAAGATTGAATCACTGATAACTTAAATCCTTTCTCAATCATGATATTGTCTATTGGCCAATTGGAAGAACTTTTTTTCCTTAATGTTGAGATGCAATCCTTATTGAAGGCTATAGTCCTTGATCTTCTGCAGCAAGCATTTCAAATCCTCACTTTTCAGCAAGCAACGCTGTATCAAATACACAGTACAAGTTGTTGATGAGTCTTTATTCCATCTTGATACCACATTCTTCTTCACAAAGTCCAGCTTCAAAATTTATTCATTCAGCATACAGATTGAATGCTGTTGGTAGGTGCCACTGAATGGAATACAACTGATAGCAACCCTATGAACAAAAGACCTGAACCCTGTTCTATCCTGTGCTATCCTCACACTCTGTGACACACAAAAGCCCTTTCAGCAGTCACTTTGTCAATCCACCTAGTTGAGGGGCTTCTTTTCCTTTTCCAACCCCCTACCCTTCCCAGTATTATGTTCTTCTTCAAGGAATAGCTCCTTCAAGCAACATGCCCAAAGTATGTTAGGTGAAGCCTCACCATTCCTGCCTTCAAAGAGCACTCTGGCTGCACCCTCTCAAAGACCTATCTGTTAGTTCTTTTGGCCATCCATGGGATGTTCAATGCTCCTCTCCAACACCACAGCTCAAAGTGTCAGTTATTTTTCTATCATTCTTATTTATTGTCCAGCTCTAAGATGCATAGCAAGTAATCAGAAAGACTGTGGCCTGAATCAGATGCACCTTAGTCTTCAAACTGACATCATTGCTCCTCAATTCTTTGGAGAGGTCCCCAACTGCAGATTTTTCCAAGTGCAATGCACCAAGGGTGTTAATTATGGAGCTAAGCTAGATGAAACTGTTGACAGTTTCATTCTTCTCCATCCATCATGACATTGCCTATTGGTCCAGTGGCAAGAATCTTTGCTTTCTTGATATTGAGATGTAATTCATTCTGAAGGCTGCATTCCTTGATATTCTGCAACAAGTGCTTCAAGTCCTCCTCACCATCAGCAAGCAAGGTTGTATCATCTGCATAATGAAGGTTATTGATGAGTCTCCTTCCAATCCTGATGCCACACTTCATAGAGTCCAGCTTCTCATATAATCTGCTCAACATACAGATTGAGTAAGTATGGAGAAAAGATCCTGGAAACACACCTTTCCTGATTTTGAAACAGTGAAGTGTTCTCTCACTCAATTTGGGCAACAGCTTTTTTGGTCTGGGTATAGATTTCATTTCAGCACAATTAAGTGTTCCAAGATGCCCATTATTCTCAATATTAGACATAGTTTGTTATTATCCACACAGTCAAATCCATTTGCATAGTCAATAAAACAAAAGAATTTCTTTTGATACTCTGGTTTTAGCCTCAAAATGAAGGACAAAGAATTATTTACTAACTAAAGTTTGGAAAAGTGACTCAATCAAAGAGTCATGTTGACCTAAAAACCAAATTTTCTCAAGTCATTCCTGACTCATTGTGACCCCATGTATAGCAGAGTAAAATTGTCCTCCATAGTTTTCAGTGACTGATTTTTAACAAGTAGCCCATCAGGTCTTTCTTTCAAGGACATCTTTGTGAACTTAAATCACCAATCTTTCAGTTAATGTCAAGCAAGTTAACCTTACTACCTACGCACTCCTATGTCAAGTTACATTTTGTCCTTATGTTACTCAATTTTTCTAGTGACTTGGTGGAGGGCAGAGAATGAAAGAAAAATAGCTTCTAATTTTTTA